TCTCTCTCTCTCTCCCCCCTTCCACACACAATTGTTGCACCAGTAATTCAGCACAACAATCCATTCTTAGATATATATCATTTTTGAAGCCATGACCTGATGAAATCAGTATCAGGGGCAAAGAAGCTATAAAGAGAGATGGAAAACAAGCCTCACATCATCTGCTCAAATCAGTATGTGTCCTAAGAGCCAACTCAAAGGAAAAAAACACTTTCTGAAATGGGTTAAGTTTTTCCTGGTTTATATGTTTTGCCAATTTGACTCAAAAATGCCACAATGCCCTCATGATTTGCTAGGCCACTTATCATGGTTCTTTAACACGTCTCCTCCTTAGTATCAAATGTAGCAACTGGATAAAGTTCATTTTGTTATGTGTGGAGGAACCTATTTTGGGTCTGATCTCAAATGAGTTGCCAACTGTTTTCCTGTCCATTTAGGGAATTATCTAACAGAGGATTGAACTATATGCATAGTGTCTCATCTTCAATGCAACACTTGGAGGCAGTAGTGGACCAACAATTCTACCAGCAAGCTTGTAACTCACTAAGATAATCAAGGGCAGAAATGCATAAGCACCTCCCTTAATCTCTAAATAATTTGACATTAATGCCTCCTGATTTGATTTACTAGAATGTTTTTATGTTTACACCTAGCAACTTATGTGTGTAAGTGTACTGTACTTCATTTCCTCTTTTGTAGAGAGACTGTGTGCATGGGTAAAATGCTTTGTTAATGCATTAATTCATATTTTATTTATTTTAAATTAAACAACCACATTATGTTAGTCCCATCCAATGTTGCAATCAAATAAAATTAAAGAAATAGTTATAACATCAAAATGTATTCTGTATTTATTTTAATTTATTTGTTATACATTAAAAAAGATTTATGGTTATGACATTCTGAAACATCATTGCCACAAAATAAGTAACAGCGTGAAAAGGCCATGACCAAACCCAGCAAGAGACTACTGCTGACCAGGCGCTCCCACCCTCTATAAAAGAGGCAGTTAGGAACTTCTGCATCAACTGATAGGCTCCCACACAGGTGAGTATATTCACTGCGACTTCAGTTTGTACTCTTACTGATTAGTCTGTGTTGCTAATTACTTATGCATATTGTCTACAATTCTGTGGCAGTTACCTTGGCAGTTGTCTTGAGTTGAGTTATTTCTTGATATACTCTTAACACATTTATGAAGAAAAGAAAGAAAGAAAGAAGGAAAGA